AACGTCAGGCGAATAAACGTGTTGTCCCAGCGATCGAGTCTTCTTCTTCTCACTTCTAAAAGAACACAGCTTATGGACTTAGGGTTATTTTTACGGAAAATTAAAACAACCAGTCGAGTAGTTACACAAATAACTGATTGTCTGCGAGCTGCTCACTTATTATTATCAGTAGTACTATTTGTGTTATTTCTTGTAGAAAGGTACCGACCTCTTTAGTTTCAACTACTACCACAATTAATCTGACTCCCCCTTCAAACGGAAATGTTATTCTTCAGGAATAAATTTAAACAAGACAAAGACGTCAAAGTGGACCGAGCTTAATGACGCACCTAACTTTCATGACCTCTTTTTGAGCTAATCACGGCAATCGCACATTAATAAGATTAACTGTTCAATATGAAAACGACCCGGAGAAATCAAACCTGGAAAGTAAATTAAAGGGAGGGAATTTTGATCGCACATGCGGTTGAGTATAGTGTAAGGAGGGGAAGGGAAATTGTATACGCGGGCGAGTTTAGATTACGGGGGAACTTCTTAGAGAGAGATGAGGAGTACACAGCATAGGACATTAGTTAGTCATGTGGAGCGAGTGAAAGACGAGTGAGCGAAGAAAGTCACTTCCTTCAACGACCTTCACACCATCCTCATACGCACTTCAGATCAGTATTTTCCGTTTTTAACCACCTATCACGTTTGACTCCTCTAGATCGTTTTCTTACTGAACGGTGAGTTTTATTGATGTGCAATGACTGTAAGCAGTTGAATAAGAGGGTAGGACATTTAATTGAGAACTTAAAGTGTGTTTGCCATAGAAAGTGAGCAGTGATGACAAAAAAGTCGTACTTATGCTGGGGTTTTAACTTGAATTGTAATTGTGATTAGTGTTGCCACAACGAGGACCACACTGATATTAAGTTAGCTGCTGTTCCGTTACCAACCCTCTATGGTGCTTTCTCCTCATTGGGTATAACTTTCATGAGGCCTTCTGAAAGTTAAAGTACAAGTATGACCTCCTGCCCCCTGGAGTGAATTCCATTTTTAGCCT